AGCATGATACGCATCAGGAAAAACTTTTGGCATGGCCTCCAATAAGCCAACATTTCGATCAGAAACGAACGTAATCTCCCGTGTATGATCCACAATCTCGTTAAGCTGTTGTAGAAACCATAGCCAATTTGACTCATTTTCAGAATCAACCACCGCAAAAACTAGTGGGAATAAACCTGAAACATATATTATAATAATTTGTAATTCTACTTAAACCGTTAAAATGAATAAAACAATGAAACAAAGAGTAATAAGAAACAAAAAAAAGTAACACTAAATCTTAGTTGAATTGTTGTTTTCCAAAAAAAATAATTGTACCTTGGTTTCCATCATTGTCAATTGCCAAAAGAATATTTACTTTGTATCTACCTTTCAAAAAAGTTCCATCAACAAATAATAATGGACGACAATAATTAAAACCATCGATGCATGCCTTAAATGACACAAATAACCTCTGAAAACGATTAGACTCTTGATCACAATCTAAAACCAAATGGCTGCCAGGGTTGGTACTATTTGTAGCATCAACATACCAACGTAATTGTTGGAACGATAAATTATGATCACAAAAAAGCATTCCTCTTGCCTTTTCAACACACATCCATGCTCGATCATAAGATATTGTTAGACCATAGTCCGAATTAAAATCATTAACAACTTCAATTGCTGAATAGAGTGCTTTTCATGAACGTGATCAACAATCAATTTCGCAATCAGATTAGAACTGAGCCACTTATTTTGTACTGTATGTAGAGCAGCCCCACATGTGTGTTCGTTATGTAATTTTCTTATGTAGAAAAAATCATTTACCTTTTGGAGAGTTGCATTAATATGCCACCCACATCCAGTAAAATATTTTGAAGCACATTCGGTGATAACTTGCTCTTTACAATTCTTAACATAATTAAATTTAAATCCAACTTTGATAGAGTATTTCCAAAGAGCATTACGAAACTGTGACACACCACCTTCAAACTTTTGTCCTTCATGACGAATTTCATTTACCCAACCAGATGAGAGTAAAACCTTCTCATCATGTGAACGAAACCGAGGAAGCAAGTCTTCCTCTGAATCAAATCCAACATCATGTAATTCGGCATCGTCAATAAAATCAATATCATCAATAATGAATGACTCGTCATCTCTCACAACGACATTCATATCAATATACTTAATTGCGATACATCTCACCAAATCAAACATGTTCTTCATATCCATATCATTATGCAAAATGCAATTCGGATGCCCAGGGATAGAGTATGATAGCCCAACAACAACATTTGTCAAACAATTCCATGTGTCACGAATCCCACGCACAACGTCGTCTAACGTTGAACCCACAAAAAATCTGAGGACTGATGTCTCATTACCGAATCTGCACATCGTCATTACGGTATATTCCATTGTTCATCATGTTAATAATTTTATTAGGAAAGAATAAAAAATTAGTCAACACAGTATGAAAACACCATGACATGAATATGAAAGATAAACACCATATGCAATTCCTATAACAATAAATTATTAAGTGAACAAATTTGCAACATCTTTCACACACTGTAATACATAATCCCTTTGAATTAAAAAAAAAAAGTCAAACCATGGTTTAGCTGGGTAAAGTTTAGTCTTCAAATCAAAGAAGTTTAACAAAATGTTGTTTGAAATAATTATATGAACATGCATGACACCAACTGATTGTGTAAGTAGAAAACACGAAAAAAAAAAAGAATCTAACTTGAGGACATACCAGAAAATTGATGAACCTCTTGAAGAAAACTGATGATGCTTATCGGTTGCTGTATGAAAAACTTAAGTTTGAAAAATAAAGCTATGAAAAAACAAAAATATTTACTGCCAAAAATTTTATAATCTTTTTAAAATTCAAACGTTTGATTGCCCATTAAATTAGGAAACCACTCATTCAATAAAAACAGAATAAAAAAAAAAGGAAACTACTAGATATTGCCTAAAATAAGCAAAGGGCATTTAGGTACTACTAAAATATGAAATTTGAAATTATGTACTTATCCACCAAATTTTTTTATAGAAAGTATACTTACAAACTTAAAATTTTGTGCAATGGACGTTTCTAGGAATATTTTCAAAAAAGTGTACTCCCCACAATTTTCCCTTATTTTCAAAAAAGTGTACTCCCCCACAATTTTCCCTTTTTTTTTTCCTATTTATATTGAGTGGATTGAATGGATTTATTATTTAGTTGCATTGTTTATTTTTTTTATATATATATTTTTGTTATTTGTTATGTTGGATTCAACTGAGTGTGTATATTAAATGTAGTGAAAATTAAGGGTGAGTTCCCCTAGATGGACTTAAAATTAAGGGTGAGTTCCCCTAGATACAATTATAAACCTTGAAACGTATATTATGTAACATGCATTTTAATATTCACAGTAAAATCAAAGCTTTGTGCTCAGTAACACATTTTACAAAATCCAAGACAATAGTTTTTTTTATAGTTCGAATGATTTTAGTGAATATACGATCCGCAAATTAAAAATTTTATAAAATGATGAATAGTAACACACAATCAACAATTGAATTACGACACTCAACACTAATTGTAAATATCAAGACATCAAAATTCTGACCATCATTTTTCAGTTCACGTACAGTAACATGAACTTTTTCCACAGTAACACAACCAAGGAATACTTGAGTGTCTTGCGCAATAAAAAAATCAACAAAATCGAAATCTATAACACTTTAATTTAGAAGTAATGTATGAGTTCTCTTGAATCTTGGTTACAAAGTTAATGCCCACTTTGATAAAATTAAATCCCTAATTGTTATTACCCTTTTACCATGTTACTATTTTATTATGAGCATGTTACTGTTTTTTTAGTGACCATGTTACTGTCCTTGTTGAGTAAGTTACAATTGTTATTTTTTAAATATATTAATATTTTGTCGATGGAGTCCAGAGTAAACTGGAATAGTAAATTAAAATGGTATTTTATGGAATGTAATGAGTTTAAAATTTGAATATGAACGATTTTTGGTAAATGCCGATTTCTTGTTTTTTAGATAAAGAAACATCGTGGCTTGGAAGATTATAGCCAGATTTGAAGGCGATTATGAAGGAGATGTATATGGCTGATTATTGTGTCCATAAATGTTGTTTATCACATTCCTACACGGAAAGGTTACAATCAAAAAATTGACAAAAACATAGACTTAAAACCAAATAAGTTTCTTTGACAGACTTATCTTCAAATAAGTCCATATAGGGGGACAGGCCTCCAAAATTCCCTTAAATATAAGGAACCAACGAGCCTTTGGTCTAATTGTACTCCTTGTCATATGAAGGTTTTTCCTTCTTGAGGTAAAGGGTTCAAGTACCCTTTCTCCTTCTCTTCCCCCCAAAAAACAAAACTAAAATAAAAAAAATAAATGTAAGGAATTGAGGCGAGCACGCAATTTTAATAAAATATAATAAATAAATATATTCTTTTATTTTTTATGTCTTAGGTGTCCAATAAGATTCCCAGTTTTAATTTGCGTGGGTTCATTCGTTCATTTGTTGGAACTAAATTTGGTCGCTCTATTGTACTTTGCTATATTTATGTTTGATTGAACATACTTAACACTGTTCCATTGATTGAAGTTGACCATTCCAAACTCGCGACATTGCTCTTCTTTTTTTTTTGAGCAATGTTATTGATACATAATTTATTGGCCTAATTCATCATAATCATTAGATTAACTAGGCTCCTTCAAACATTAGAACTTGGTGTTAATCTAATAGTAACAATGAAATCACATTATTAGGTCAAAAAATTAGGTCAAATTTTTAGGTTTAAATGACATTACTCTTTTTTTTATTCTCCCAATAATTTACATGAAGTAATTGAGTCGGGAAATTGAAATTGGATGATTGCGGTGAGGACTTTGAAATAGGAGTACACAAATAGCTTTATTTATTGAAGTTTTGGGTTTTTTACCTAAAGCACTTTGATTAATTAAAATGTCAATTCAAAGATAATTGTAACAAATAAAGTATGTTTGCTTCACTATGCCTCTGTCTGCATTTTCATTTTAGTACTCAATTTTTTTACGTAATTGATACAAAGAGGTGTTCTCCCATATAGAGAGAGCTTACAATTTATAGGCATGAAGCCCTTGGGTGAGGCGGTGATGTGAGGGTAAATGTACTAATTCTTCGGAGAGCTACAAAAGATAAGTGCAATTAAAGGTTGCCTTGATCTTCGAGAGTAAGTATCCTAATAATTGCTCCCCACGTGCTCTAATTCTTCTTGGACTCCTTTGAACTTGGGCTGGGTCAAATTCTAGAATTAGGCTGGGCCTGACCTAGTTGAATCTAGGTTTGTCATTTGCCCCCATGCCCTAAGCCCTAGTAGTGACCAAAAGAGGTTAAGGGCATGAGGAGCCCCATCGTCTAAAAGGATTTCTTGCTCCTCATGGTGTTGCCTTCCTTAACTAGACGGGCAAAAGTTTTCTTCTTCACCACGGTAGTCTCTTCATTTCCCTCAATGACAAAGCTTCTGATAACTCCATGGTTAGGCACACATAACTCTGGTTATCCTTCCCTATAGTGAGTCTCTGCTAAACTTGAACCTCCTTTTTTAGGGCACCAATCTTCAGAAATCACAAGGTCTCCCCTTATTTTTTTTTTAATTGCAGCACTTCCTTTAGGTTGGAGAGGATCCCTTATCAAAACCCCTATTTCCCCAATTTAAGGCATTCTTTTCCTAGGGTTTTAAGAGGTCAATACTTATAGACCCCCTTTTCTCCATTCTTCCCTTTAAAGATTTAAGCTCTCATTAATAATGGGGAGGAAGAAGAATCCAATGGATGATATCCCAGGGAAAATACCATCCAAGAAGATGAGTGGTGAGACCCAAGGAACAAGTCCTGAGGTGGCATGACGACTTGGAGATGGAAGGGAGCTCAGCGGAGCTGGTGTGTCAAAACAGTAGTTAGGCGACACTAGCGGGGTGTGGGACTCTAGTCAAGGCTGCATGGGAATGGGAAATGCCCCTCGTGTCCTTGATTCTAAGGGTGTCTGCGAAATGGGAGGTGAGGCACTAGAGGTCGACGCCCTAGGCAAGGGGATCACCAACAATGCTGGGGCCACGACCCAAGCAATGGGTGACTCTAGCAAACTGCTGCGCAGTGTCATCGCGTTGGTTGGTGGCAAAAATGGAAAGGGTAGCAGTAGCTTTGGCATAGGCAACGCCTGTCTAGCTTCCAAGGACCTAGTTAACGCCGATCAAGCTTCCCAACTCCTTGGCGACTTCGTTTCAACCGCGAAGACCTCGGGTGGCGCTATTCCAGCTGTGAACACCCTGGGTGACGCCACTATATCTGCAAAGACTTCAAGATGGACTCAAGGAAGAGACGCTAGTGATGGTGGATTGAGAGAGAGAAGACCATACCAGGTGCGTGAATCGAGGAAAGGGTGACTCCTATGGTGACCCCAGACAAGGCGACACCGGGCTAGGCAGCGCTAGCGCACTGGTCAATGCCAGTAAGGAGTTGGGTGACGCTAGCCAGGCACGAAGCGAAACTGGGAAGTGGGAAGTGGTCAGGCGACGGCGTCGACGGTGGGTAGCAGTTAGGTGGTAGTGCCGATAGTAGGCACAGGTCAGGTCGTCGTGTCTGTGGTTTGGGCTGTAGTGGTGACTTTGATGGGAACCTGAGACTGGGTGGATCACTTTGTGGTAGTTTGGGTATTGGGAGAGTGGACCCATGCATGGGGGAGACAGACTTGGGCACCAAGACCCCGCTTAGAGAGGTAGATGTACCAAGTTGTGGAGGGGATCGAGGTACTACCTTCTGACTGTATAACTTAACCTTGCTGATTTTTTTGTTAATCCTGACGCCTGTTCATCTTCATTGCCTTTTATTGTTGTACCAGGTGCCCAAGCCAATAGAGGTAATACAGTGGATGTTAGGTAGGCTTCACAACGAGGCAAAGGGATCACTGAAGGTGACAGTTCGATGGTAACCTCCATTTTTAGCTCGATTGACTATGATGAAGACGTCACCCGCATTGTGTTTTCATATCATATCCCTCCTGCTGTCATGTGTCATCGGGTGGAGGAGTATGAGCTAGCATGTTGTGACTCTTTGGGTGAGATTGTTGTCTATGAGGATGCCTTAGAGGTGGGCTTGAGATTCCCAATATCCAGACCCATATGTCGGATTCTAAGGCACATGTCGCTGGCTCCCGAGAAGTTGGCTCCCAACCGATGAAGAGTGATCCTAGCATTTTTCTCACTATAGCAACTAGTTCATAGTTTTGATGTTCCTCCCCTATTCGAGGATTTTTTGGCCACGTATGTGCTTCTGGATAACCCTTTCCTCATCAAGGGTGGTTTTGTTTTGCCTTGAGGTCGGGCAAGTTCATCACTAGGCTTCCTTCGAACTATCATAGTTGGAAGTCTAAGTTCTTCTTTGTTGGAGGCGAGTGGGCCACCGAGGGATATCATGACCTAGTGCCTTCGAGGTGGGACACCGTCTTGAGGACCAAGTTAGGCAAGAATTCCATTTTTGCTTTTACTTTTAGTCATCACATATTTGTTCTTACTGTGCAATTGGTTTCTTCGTAGCTTCACCCACATTATCTACAGAGTGGGAGAGTAGACTCCAGATAGTGTGTGACCATCATTTCAAGGATTTCTCAGAGATTATGTCCGCATCAGGTCATCCCAAGGTCTCTCAGAGGCTGAAGAGGAAAGGTATTTGATCCTTCCAATAGACTCTTGATGGTTACAATGTTGTAAGCTTTTTGTCTAACACTAAGTCCGCAAATACTTCTATTGATTGAGCAACAATAGAAGCTCTCTATGCTTCCAGGGTGGTGTCTTCCCCTCCATCTTCTAAGAAGGCAAAGTCTGATGCCCCCAGTGTTTCTCAACCGGGGTCTATCGACTAGGTTAGTCCTTGAAAGGCAAGACCTGGTGATGCCCCCAGTTCTTCCCTAGTTGCCATTCCTTCACCCCCTAGAGCTAGTCCCGACATGATTGTGGGGAATGAGGCCCCTGCGTGGTCTCCTACAAAGACTGAGGCTCCTCTTAGCTGTCCTACTTCTAGCAGTGATTGGTTGTCCATGCTATAGGGCATAAATCTGGCCAAGGAACAACAGTGGGAGTTTGTGACCTTCGCGGAGATCCAGGAGGTTGGTTCTCAAGGTCCAGAGGGCATCATCGACACAACGATGGAAGGATTTTCTTTGGTATGCCCTTTACTCATCTTTGATTTTGCACCCGCTTCTTTCCCTCTTGTCCTACTTATTTATAGGTGGCTACTATTTTTCCTTGCTTATTCTGAAGCACGATGAAGCTTAGAGAAGCACTCATCAATCAGGCAATGGAGAGGCAGGCACGAAGGACTGCTAAGGAGAAGTTAGGACTTGAGAGGCAGGCATGAGAGGCTACCAAGGAGCAATTGAGGCTAGCACACAAGAGAGTTGCCACACTTGAGAACAAGCTTCTGGCATCTCGTAAGGAGGGCTGCCCAGCTAGAGGCTGACAAAGAGGTTGCCTGCACGAGAGCCAAGACAGAGTTGCGAGCATCTCGAGAGAGGGTTGCTGGAGCAGAGGCTGAGCTTTGAGCAACTCTTGAGAGAGCCACTAAGGTAGAGACTTCCTCCATTGAGATGGAGAAGAACAGAGGTACTATTGAGAGGGCCGTGGAAGACACCTATATTGATGGCTATGAGGAGCTTAAGGGTAAGGTCTCAATAGCTTTTCCTACCTATGACTTTTCTGGCTTCGTTCCCTATGAGGCTCCAGGGACTGATGATGAGGAGGCGAGCGACGATGGGAACAGATTAGGGAGTAGTGAGTGATGTTAGGAGTATGGTATCTTTGTATTTTTGGTTTTGTTGTTAGACTATTTTCTATCTTTTGTAAATGATTTATGAACTTCTATGGAATGAGATACAACTTTTGAAAAAGTCTTGCAAATTTTTATTTCATAATCCGAAGTAGATAACAATGAAAATTGACTAAAATAACAATAGATAATTTAACTAGTGACTACTGACTTGTACACCCATTGCCTTGCCCCCAGCTATTGGTAATATTTTTTTAGGTGCTCTGCGTTCCATGGATGAGCTAGAACTTTTCTCTCAAAATTCTGAATTCTATAGGTGCCCAGTCTTATAACTTCTATGACCTTGTAGGGTCTTTCCCAGTTAGGTCCTAGCTTCCCTTCCTGAGATTCTTTGGTAGACATGATGACTTTTTTGAGGACTAGGTCCCTAGGCAAGAAGAAGTGAGGCTTCACCCTTAAATTGTAGTACTTGGTCATGCGACGCTTGTACTCTGTATTCTTGAGCATGGATATCTCCCTCTCCTCCTCTACCATGTCGAGGTTGATACAGAGGCCTTCTTCATTACTAGTAGGGTCATGGTGCTGGACCCTAAGGGTGTATACCCCAATCTCAACAGGTATGACCGTCTTTGTCCATAGGCTAGGGAAAAAGGGGTCACACCCGTAGGGCTCCTTGGTGTCATCTAGTAAGCCTACAAAACCCTTGGGAGTTCATTTACCCATCCATTGTCCTTTCACACTCTCCAATCTGATTTTTAAATTACAGAGGATAGTCCTAAACATGACCTCTGAATATGGATGGGCCGGGCTGGAGTAGGGCTGCTTGATCTGTAGGTCAGCGCAAAAGCTGTTAAGGAGTTTATTGTCAAACTGTTTGGCATTATCGCTTACAATTTTGTGAGGTATTCTAAAGCGGCAGAATATGCTTCTCTAGATGAAGTCTTTCACCTTGTGGTCTGTTATCTTGGCCAAGGCCTCGGCTTCTGCCAATTTAGTAAAGTAGTCAATGACTATCACTACGAACTTGCACTGGCCTCGACTTACGGGTAGGGGACCTAGGATGTCGATTCTCCACATAAAGAAGGGCCACGGGCTCTAATGGTGGTGAACTGTTCAAGTGGCTGTCTGGGTACAGTTGTGAAACATTGTCATCTATTGCATTTCCTGACAAACTCTCGGCCGTCTCTGATTAGGCTAGACCGGTAATAACCATACCTTACTGCTTTGTGGGCCAGTTCATATCCTCTCGGGTGATTTTCACATATTGCCTCATGGATTTCCCTCATAACATAAGTGGCTTCCTCGGGGGTCAGGCAGCGGAGAAGTGGCAGTGAGTAACTCTATTTGTAGAGTGTATCGCATAAGATGACATACCTGTACACTTTCATCCTCAACTTTTTGGTTTCAACTGGGTTGTTCGAGAAAGCGCCTTCCTTGAGGTAGGCTCGGATGGGTGTCATCCAGTTAACTTTAGAGGATATACAATTAACATCATCCTCCACTGCCTTTCAGTGCTTGGCTTGAACTGGTGCCTTTCAATGCTAGGCCCATGAGTATGTTGGCAGACGCGAATTTGGTGAGGGCATTTACCATGGAGTTCTCCTCGCGGATTACATAGTGGATTTGAAAGTAGGTAAACCTTTTTAACAAGGTCTAGACCACTGACAGGTATTCTTGCATTCTTTCCTCCTTCGCCTTGAAGTCTCCCTTCACCTGGTTGACTATTAGTTGTGAGTGACTATAGGCTATCAGGCAGAAGGCCTCCATCTCAAATGTGAGATTCAAGCCTGATATGAGGGCCTCATATTTAGCTTGGTTGTTTGATGTTGCAAAGTGGAGGGAGACAGTGTACTTGAGTGGAGTACGATGGGGGCTGATCAACTGTAGTCTTGTGCTGCCACCCTCACTGGTGGAGGACCCATCCACATATAGTCTCCAATCTGGTGGAGTAGGCACAAGGGAGTCTGATGCCTCTAATCTCAGAGTGTGGTCTCCCGAGGCCTGTGGAGTTGTCTCCGAGACGTTGGGTTCTCTTAGGATAGTGTTTGGGCTTGCCTCATGGTGGGTGGAGGCATTATGCATTGAGCAGATGAGCGCAGGAGTGCATGATTCTTCCTCCCGGAATTTCTATGGTGGTGTGGACTAGGCCATGAAGTCCGTAACTACTTGTGCTTTGATGGCTGCCCTTGGTTGGTACTATACGCCGCCCTTGGTTGGTACTAAACATCGAACTCACTTAACTCGATGGGCCATTTAAGTAATTGGCTGGACACGTCAAAATTTCCTAGAATTCTCTTGAGTGGTTGATTTGTAACAACCATGATGGTATGACTCTGAAAGTAGTGGCGTAGATGTCTGACGACGGTGACAAGTGCGAGAGCTAACTTTTCAAGCTCCGAGTATCTAACCTCTACCTTTTGGTATGCCTTGTTTACATAGTACATAGGCTTCTGGATGCCTCCATTCTCCCAAATAAGGACAGGGCTCACGATAGAGGATGAAGAGGAGAGGTAGAGGTATAAGGTCTTTCCCGATACAGCATAGGAGAGCAAGGGTGGTGTGATGAGGTAGGATTTTATCTTTTGAAAGGCTTCCTCTGCATCTAGTCCCCACCAGAAAGATTTGCAGAGGATTTTGAAGAAAGGCAGGCACTTGTCTGCTGACTTTGAGACAAACCTGTTGAGGGCTATTATCCTCTCGTTAAGGCGCTGGACCTCCTTTATTGAGGTTGGGGACTTCATCTCCAAGATAGCTTTGATCTTGTTTGGGTTGGCTTCAATGCCCCTTCTGTTGACCATGAAACCTAAGAATTTTCCTAAACTAACGCCAAAAGCGCACTTCTCAGGATTGAGCTTCATCTTGTAGGCTCTTAGTATATCAATGGTTGAGGTGTGTCATATGGTCTGTCGTGGTCATATTCTTCACCAACATATCGTCTATATAGATATTCATGGTCTTCCTATCTGAGCCTTGAATATTTTGTAAAATTTGGGTAAATTTAATTTTTTGTAAAAAAAGGGTAAAACGATAATTTCTCATTTCGGTGGGAGTTGAAAACTTGTATTTTTTTAAAGCTCGGATGATGAAATAGACCTTACCGTTTGATTCGTCTCGCAAAA